GACGACAAAGCAAAGCACTGGATCCTCACAATCCCACGTCATGAAATGTAAAGGCTGGAGCAATTTTTCTAAGTCCCAGAAAAGCAATTGTTGTACTCAGTTCCAGCTGAGAACAGATTAAAATGCGGCTGAATTTATGACCCATAGTCACCCAGCGTATTTAAAAGGAGAAGAAAAACCTCAAAAAAAAAGAACAAAAGCCAAACAGCAAGCTCAGCTCCAATAGGAAGTGGCTCAGTTTACAAATGCTAAAAGCATGGCAAGGCACATCCTGCGGTTCAGGCTGATTTGTGGGTCACAGGCTTATTGATAGCTCTGGCAGTAAGATCTGCCCTACTGCTTATGAGGGAAGACTTGAAGTGGCCAAATTTAATGCAGTTATATACTTCTCTAAGAAAAACAAGCAGCTTCACTCTGTCAGCCTCTTGCAACCCTCCAGCCACCCACCGCCTGGCAGGCAAACGCTTCTAATTTTTTATCCTTTCTCAAAAAAGATAAAAATGTATGTCTCAGGACAGCATCAGGTGGAACTGTGGCCACGAAGAGGCCCTAAATCCAAAGCCCCGTCTGAAAACTAAAAAGGTGACCAAGGCATTTGATAAAGACAAAATCCCAGCCACTCTCCAGCACACAAATCACCCCCAAAAGTGATCCTCGCTGCACTGCTCCTCCCAGCAAACAGCTAATGGCATCGGCTCACTCACACAAAGAGGGAAGGACAAACAAGGGAAAACAATCGTGGCATTAAAGCAAACAATTAGGAAGCAATTAAGACCGGACATCACTGCGATGTAGTAAACACAACTTTCACACTGAACAATGCCTTTCTTCCTAAGCTATTTTTTCCATCACAAACGAATGCTTCCATCTGAGAAGGAGCTATCTGACAACATTTAGCAGCGACAATCACTCACTTCACCTACTCCATGTTCCCAGAACACAGCAGTAGGAGCAAACGTGGTTTTTCCAAGTGCCAGGCCAAACGCAGACATCTCCCAGCCTGAACTGGTCTGCACGGCTCTGTGACTCCGAGGCAGACTCATTCTTGCAGAAATAAAAGCCAAGCAGCAGCTTCCTTGCTCTGTACCTCCAAGCTCACTGATAAGGCAGCAGCACTCCATCATGTGACACCCTAAACCCCACGTTTCACTCTGCTGCAGCTTGATTGTCAGAGCTGATTCCGTTTAAACCCCACCGCTAGGGAATACTTCTGCTTTCCTCAGAACTCAACATTGCTGTTACCAAGGCTTTAAAAAAAATTATTTGGGAAGCTGGCAATAGCTTTACAGCACTCTCTCCAATTTACTCGTGGGAAAACTCAGAGAGACTTCTCAATCCTGGCACTTAAAAAAACAACAACAACAAAAAACAGGAATTGGACACAGCACTAATGGAAGCAGTCAAGCAGCTGATTTTATGTTAACACATCCCTGTGTGGAGAGCTCCTGCCCTGATCCCACAGCAGCCTTACACTCCTCAAGATAAAACTGAAGTAAATAAATACATTGAAAAACAGCGGGGGGAAATATCTGGGTGTTCGCTGTATTTCCCATTTCTAACAGTCTGCACATGCTGATTTTTCCATGAGCAAATTCCAGTCTAGGAGTGCCTACCGGTCCTCTGGGCGAGTCCTTGATCGAGAGCAGATAAACACATCTCCAAAAGTATGGAAGGAGCACTCACAAAGCACTCAGCTGTTACACTGCCCTCGCTGGACAAGGAGCAGCAACCTGGCACCTCGGGAGGCTGGGGAAGGGACAAAAGCAAACAGCCCTGATGTTCTCAAAGAGCAGGAGCAGCCTGAGGAATTGGGAAGGCCACGCTGCTTGTCTTTCTCAAAACAAACCAAACAGCTCCGATTTTGGTACTCATCTGCAAGAGATGTCAGGGGGAGAAAAAAGGTAATGCCCCAGTACACCTTCTGCGCATATATTTATGCACAAAGTATGGTTTCAGTTTTAAACAATAAATAAATAAACAAGAAAACAACAAACCATGTGGAGCAACTGCCAGGCTCCACTGTGCTGTAGAACAAGGCAGTGAAGGAAGAGCACATCTTGCCCCAGTTTGGTTTACAAGTTAACTTTGGCCTTCACTCACCAACATACGTACCCCCAACAACAACAACAACAACCACTCACTCACCTCCAGCAGCTCCTCGTCCTTCCAAGGCTGAGCAGGCAACAACTATTTAAATTTATCTCCTTTTTAAAAAACCCTGTGCTAGAAACTTCGGAGAGGGATTCACTAATCCAAAGATAGGGGATCTGTGGGTTTTTTTTAAAAGAAATTACAATTGCAGAACTTTAATAATAAATCTGAATCTTTTCCTTTTATAAATAAATGGTTTTCATCTAGCTTCCTTTCTTATTAAAGTATTGCCAGCAGAGGATAACACAAGCATGTTACCATATGGCACGCCCACCAGAACTATCTTTACTTTTTTTTCCTTGGAGATGTAAGCTAAAGCACCTGCAACTATGCTGTAATTTGCTTTTAGAAAAAACTTACCAAGCAGTGTTTTTTTTGGAACTGCAGATATTTGCTAGTCCAATTCCCATTTCTGAACCATTTTTAAAGACTCGGGATAACTTATTCAGCTGTTGGAGAGCTTTACAAAGTCTTTTCAGAAAGGAAGAAACGAATCAGAAGGAGAAAACCACGGCTCTGAAAATAACAATTGCTGTCAAACCCCAGTTGTATTAATTCAGTGACTCGCCTCACAAGACAGTCTTTTTATAGTGTTCCCCATAAGCAGAGAAGACAATGGCTCCCCTTGATTTTATTTCCCCCCCCCCCATGTAGCTTTATACATCACTGGCCCTAGCAACAGGGAAGAATAGCCACGGATTTGTCAGCGGACAAGGGGGCCCCGCGCACGCCGCGTTATCCCAGCACAATCCCCCTGTCCTGTTCGGGGACAGCAGGGAAGCCTGCGGGAGGGCACAGCTCCTGGCACCGGGCAGGGACACTGGCACACCCACACCACGGACAAGGGGGCGAAAAAGTACCGAGAAAGACTATGCTGCAAGCACCGTGCAAAAAACACAGGGGGTTTGCAGCTCAAAATGCAAGCTAGCACTGTTAATTAACCTACGGACATCCACACACACTATCTTGGAATAACTCTTATCAAGCCCAAACTCAAGTCTGACAAAAGGTCATGCTAACTTTCTGGATCACTAAGAAAAAAGCCGACCAACCAATAAAACCCACCAAAACTCCGTGTCAGCATCACAGAAAGTTTCCCTGGTCACCTCGAGGCCTAGCAGGCATATTTTCAACCTTTTTTTTTTTTTTTTTAACCCATTTCTAGACTGCAGATGAGCAAATTAGGTGGCATCTACAGCACTCTGCCAACAACAGCTGAGGCAGCTTTGCCAACATTTCTAGCTCTGCCGTGCACTAACTCCAGTCTCCATTTCTATGTTTCATCCAGAAGGATAACTTGGAAAAATGGAGGTGGGGGTAAAGGTTTGCTGCCCTAGGTTTCAGAAGAAAGGATCTGAAAAAAGAAACAAGCATCTCATTATTGCCTGTGACAGAGGGTGGAGGGTTTCACGCTTTTCCATTCCCAGTTAGCCAAATGCCACGGAGAGGGAGGCCCTCTAATTTGCAAACCAGACTCCCAGGACACTCGGAATCCTGTCCCCCCTTCTCCATCCACCGTGGCAGCTGAGAATTACGAAGGAGAGGGACAGCTGGGCTCCTCATTAGGAGCACCGCGCCTCCATCCGCGGACAATTATCTGCACCCACCTCCCGTTTGCGCCCTCCGCAATCCCTGCGGGAGCACGGCAGGCCAGCGGGATGGGGACGGCAGAGTTAAAAGATAAACACAAGGGAGGGACTGAGGAGGAAGCCAGCCGCCAGGGTTATTTGTCTCCATGAGAACACAACTTACTAGGACACTCCAGCTCTGAGATAAAGTCTCTTCTCTAAGCCCAGGCCACGTTTACATCTGCTGGTTATCACTGTAAGCCTGCAACAACTGCCAGATATTCCGGCAGCGGTGCCAGGGAGCCCGGAGTGTGCTGGAGCACTCAGCGGGGACAAGGCCCTCATGGAGCTCGGCTCTTCCGGGGTGCCTTTTCCAGCCGCCTCGATCGCCCTTCTCTCCCTCGAGCGCATCTTCGCCTTAATTAATAGGTCACTGAACCGGTTTATGTTAATTGTCACAAGTACCTCGTCTTTGTTTCCAAGGGGAGGGACCGAAGTTCATTCGGTTCTGGCCCACGAAGCAAAATCTCAAGAAGAGGGGCTCCGCTCGCACCCGAGTCGCCACCGGCTCCCGAGGGAGCTTTTTCCTGCCGCAGTAAAGCCTGGCCAGGTCCTCACCGGGGCTCCCCCAGCCCCGCCCGCCCATCACCTGCACCGGGGCTCACTTCCACACAGCTGCGCCACGCAACGCCACGGCACCAGCCTCTGCCCGCCACAAACGAGAAACCCGCACGAAAATATCACAAAACCTCGGGCAGACCCCTCGGGTGGGTGTCTGACTCCGACCCCACTCTCGTCTACCCAGCGATACCCCTCCGCCGGGGAGCTCCCCGGCGCTGGAGATCCGAGCCTGTTCTCAAACTCGCATCCGTAAGGGGAAGCCGCACGGGAAGGGGAAGCCCGGCTCGCTCGCCCGCCCTCCAAACGCCCTCACGGCGCGGCCGCCCCGCCGCTCCCTGCCGGCGGAGCGGGGCGGCCGCTCCCGGGGCCGCCGGGGGGCCGGGGCACAAAGGGAGAGAGCGGGGAGCGGACGGAGCGAGCGCCAGGCCGGCGGGGAGCGGCGGGGCGGGGGGGGGGGG